GGACGTCCTTCGGCCTATATTCCCGTCCTTCGTCCCCATGTCCGTCCTTTCTCTTTATTATTATTTTATTTTGAATAAAAAACAATGACAATTTTTTTCTTTTTTAAAACCATTTTTACTTTTTTTATTCAATTTTACTTAAATTTGAATAAAAAGTTATAAGAAATATTTTTGACAAAAAAAGAATTTTTGAACAATATACCCAAAAATCGAGCTTTTTAAAAAGCAACTTTTTTTAAACACTAAGAGCTAAAACAAAACTATAAAACTATTTTATATGTATAATTGATTATCAAACAACTATAAAATATCTTTTAGATTACAACAATAAAACAAATGCGATAATTTTACCAATAAATATATTATTTTTTATGATTATTTATTGACATTAATAAAAAAATGAATAATAGTGAAATACCTTTCTAAATATTCTGGAAAATGCTATGTTTTCATCTCTTCTGTTTATTTAAAATTATTTAAGTGAAAAGCATATGAACCAAAAAGCATCGACTCAATTTCTTGAAACCACTTGAAACAAGAATTTTTAATATTTTTATGAGTGTTATTAATCATTTTTTTACCCATTTTACTCAAAGCACTTTTTGCAGTATAATGAACAATACGAGTTTTTGTCCCCACGTCTTATCTTTATGATATAATAAAAAGCCCATACACAAACATTTTTATAGAGATGTATCCACGTTACAACAGTTAAATCAACAAAATGGTATTATAAGAATAATAACAGCGAAATGCCATCACGATTTTATACAACCAAATTTCTTAACTTAATTAATAGTTCTTCGTACAATTCCCGAATTTTTAATAGAAATTCCACAACTTCCATTTTAAAATAACCTACGATAAAAAGAACTCGAAACTATGACCACCAAAATAGGAAGAGTTTGAACTTGGAATATAAAGAAGAACGAACAATCCAATTCGAAAGAGTTATGACTGATAAATGCTACGTCTGTCAAAAAGAGTTTGAAGATGATGAGGATCCAATTGAGATCATGAAAGGCAAATATATGGTTCACGAGGATTGTTTCGTTTGCTCCCAGTGCAAAGCTCCACTCGACAAATATTTCATGAAAGAAAAGAAGTTGATGTGCAAGGAATGCGCTTGCCCAAAATGCAAGGAGTGCGGAAAATCAATCGAAGGGAAAATCATTCGTGTCGATGAAGATAGATACCACCCCGACTGTTTCAAGTGCCCACTTTGCCACGCCGTCATCGGTGCTAAAGACTATAAAATCAGAGACAAACAAGTCATGTGCCTCGAGTGTGCTGCTAAGCCTGTCGAAAACTGAGGAGAAACCTACTGCATAATCAAATCCTTTGTGTTCACTATTATGGTTTTTTATAATTCATTTCTAGTATTATTAAAACTATCATTTTTATCTATTCCATTATAATATTTCTACTATCTGAAACTAATAAACTATAAATATATAAATGAATACTATTTATTAATTATTAAAACTATATAAAAATAAATTAAGTTAAACACTGTCAATCCAAAAACTAAAAACACTAATATAGTTAAACAACTATAAATAGTTAAATACAATTTGAGTATATGAGAAGTGAGATTGAATCTCAAACAATCACTTTGGAGTATTAGAACGGGAAAAAAATGGAAAAGAAAGCGATATGGCTGGTACAATCCACGTCACCCATCGTCTCTCATTCCCAAAGAATGTGAGCAACATTTTGGAGTGCTCCTTGAACTCCGCTTTGGTCTTGTTGCAGTCATCCTCCAACGTTGTTTACATCATCAACTCGAAGACAATGGAGGAAGTTGCTTGGATCGATAGCCACAAGAGCCAAGTCACTTCTGCTTGCTGGAACAACGAAGACGTGTTTGTCTCATACGAGGACGGCGTTGTCATACTCTTTAACACGCAGACGAAAACATCGATATTACATGTCATCTGCCCCCATCCGCTCCACTTCCTTTGCTCGAACGGTAAAGATATCTTTGGTGCCTCGTACACCTCAAACAACCAGTCTGTTGTTTACACAGTCAAGAAGTCGTTATTGACACAACTCTTCAAAATCTCTGGCTTGGTCACTTCCATGATTTATGTCAACGAGTGTATTATGGTGTCTTCAAAGGGAACCTTATATTTGTACAACTTATCAGGAAAGCTTTTGAAGAAAGAAAGCATTTCCACATCACCGCTTTCTCTTTCAGTCCAGTGCTGCAGCTTCAAGCGCAGATACGCACATCCATATAGTGAGATCAAACAGGTCAACGTCGTTTCGGCTCTTTCGACAACAGGAGACGTTTATTTCCTTCAGGTCGTTGGGAAGAACAAATTGCAGTTCATGAAGAAATACACGCTCTTCATGAATTGTTACGATTCCATCGCAGTCGACCCTTATTCGTCGTCTTGGGATAACATCAACTTCTGCATCGCAACCAAAGAATTCTGTTTCAACTGCACCACTGCGTCTTTTGAGAAGAATGAGCTGATCCCTTTCACGTATCCTCCTGTCATTTCCCTCTGCCACACAACCAAGGGAAAACTTTTCCTCTCTTCTCACAGAGGTGAAGTTGCAGTTTACGAGTGGGCTGATGTGTAATTTTATATCTATTGTTTAATACCTTTGGTTGAAAACAATACGACAAATCCTTATAATAGGGGGCAAGTAATAATTCATCTCTTGTCAGATTGAACAAATCGAAACAGTAAATTATCACTTTTCTTCGGTGATGTCTTCCTCGTCCTTGAACGTGTCGAGAAGTGCTTGTTTGTACTCGCAGAAGATTTCAGGTTTGAAGTACAGTGTCTTCCCTCCTCTGACAGAATAATTCTCAAAGCATGTGTCGAACACAATTTTGCCCTCATTTTTCCTCATCGAGTACTCCTCCAGTTTTGGTGGATTGTCGATGTACTTATTATCAAACATCGACAAAAAGTCGTTGACGGGGAGTTCGGTAATTGCCACTGATGAGAGCATGAAAGCTCTTTGTGTGTAAGTGACGAGTGTGAGTAGAATAGAAAAGTAGTATGCGTAGATAAAACTACATGGCAAGAAGAAGATGAGGAGAACAAAGAAGAGAATACCGAGGAGGAAATTGTCTTGTTCATACACAAGGGTATCGACCCTCTTTCGTAATGGGTTATATTTTGACCCCATGAATACTCGAAAGAGCGAAACAATGAGTGAGAAGTGTGCTCTTTCTAACCCTCCAAAGAACACAGAGAGCATTTGTACAGGGAAGAATATGACAGAGATCAAGTCAACCAAAAACGCTACAAGCGATGTGAATCCACAAAACAAAACGAGGATTTGGACTACATTGAACATCACCAGTACTGGCCCTCTTAAAAATAAGAGTCCATTTTTCCAGAAGTGAAGGAAGAAGAGTGACAGTGATGACAAGAAGTTGTTATAATTCTCGTTGAACTTAAACCCTGCGGGGTATGTAATAAACCATCTCACTGTATTTTCAATGAAATTGTCTAATTTGAATAACACAGGGAAAAAGTGAGCAAAAACGTTATACCGCAACAAGATGCAAAACATCACTCCACCTAAAAGATGGTCTAAAACTACCCGAATTGTGTTTTGGATATGTGAACGGTAATCCATTGTTTTAATATCACGAATTAATGTTTGCCGACTACTCACAAAATTGGTTTCCCACATCATTATCTTTGGTTTCCATACCATCGTCTTCTTCTCGTATCTTTTCGAGTTGTTTTTTTGTATTTTTCTTTTTGTTGGTAAAAAATGTTTTTAAATTTGTTTTTATAAATAACTTTTAGTAAAAATTAAACTAAATATAACTATACTATTAACCTTATTATATGGTGTAAAAATAGTTTTTTTTTTATTAATTGATATGTTCTTAAAATAGAATTAAAATAATATAGAAAAAAATTGATTTATAAAACTATATTAGATTGTAATAATTTTATAATTACATTATTGTTTTCGAATTTTCTTAATAATTATTTATACAATCTAATTACACGTTTTAACAAAAATAGTTTTTTTTGTTACAATAAAAAAAATTAATTATATAACTATTATTATATTATAATTAAATTATATCATATTAATAAATGTTTGACCTTTAATTACTTAAACAATAAAGACTCTAGATGACACTCTATAACTACTCTTAAATAGAAAAAATAACTAAAAATAATGTTACAACATTTCCAAAAAAATAATAATTCTTCCCGATTATTTTAATTTAAATGTCGAGTTGTAACACGTCTTTTTTCTCGTGAAAAATCCATAGAAAAAGTTGGATTTTTCTTATCCTTCTACAAATCCCGTTATTTTAGCCGTTAAACCAACAAATTGTTTTTTTCTCATTCGAAAAGGAAATGAAAAAAAGCAACAACACAACAACAAGTCAAAAAAGGTATTAAATCACACCAAAATTTACGTACCGTTCTTTAAAAGTACATTCCATCTCTTTTACTTCAATGTCCGCTTTTGTGCCGTCTCCTCCAGAATCTTATAAGGTTGACTCCTTTTTCGAGCTTGTTCCCACTACTCCTACAATAACTCCTGTAGTCTCTGCAACTCCATTGAACAAAACACAAGATTTCACAAAGCCCAAATTATACAAACAACTCACCCGTTCCACTCGAGGAAAGAAAAGTTGGACAACAGAACAAAAAGAGTATGCAATGGAAAAGGCACAACTTCTTGGTTTAACAAAAGCAACACGGTTTCTTCAGATACAGAACCAAGAAGTGTATGGAGACTTATCTCCATCAACTCTGCAATATTGGCTCCAACACACAAAGACGCAAACAAAATAAAAACAAGAAAAGAGGGTGTTACACAACTCAAAAGCACGCTTTTAATTACATACTATATACGACCATATAATTGTACTATCTGTTACATTCCACGGTTCTTTTTTTCTTTCATTCTTCAAATTGAAGAGAAGACTAGGGTTTGAGACATTAGACAATAAAAAATGATAAATTAACCCACTCTGCCCATACATGATAATTCTCTCTTGACCAAACGTCTTATTGCGTTGGGTTCGACATGTGTATAACGACTATTCTCTCAACAGTAAAGAACTTTTTGTTCGTCCCATTTAAGTCGGTATCTTCGATTCCTTCATACTCATTCGACAAATTGAGACACACGTTCTTTCTCAAACTCAATTTCGATATTCCAAAGCACCCGAAGTTGACATTTCCCATTTGGAACAAGCAGTCGTTATTACTAAACAACCGAATTCCACCGTCGTGTTCTTTCTTATGGAACCACCTTTTTGGTTCAGTGAACGGCACTCCGTCTTCTCTTCTTAAGCAAAAGATGAAGTGATTCTCGTCGTCGACGTCTTCGTCCAACAGCCCGATATTTTCCTTCAAATATCCTCCGAAGATGCTTCCCTTCTTATCAAAACTGATAAAGAAGCAATTAGGTTTAAACATGACCTTTCCATTGAAATTAGTATTGTCCTCTATCTCCTCATTCTCGGAGTCATATAAGATATCACACACCTTTAATCCACTCCATTCTTGAAAGACTTCAAGTAACTCCCCAAGTTCCATCAATTCTTCATCTTCATTAAACACTTCCCGTCGGATCTCTTGTTGAATGTTCTCTTCCTCTTCTTTCTGAAGTCGTATCCGTTCCTCTTCTAATAACTTCCGCTCTTTCTCAACTTCTTCCCTCTTTTGGGCTTCAATCATCTCACTCTTCCGCTTCTCCTCTTCTTTCAATTTCTTCTCCTCACGTTTCCCAAGACGGACTTTACTCTTCCGGTTCTCTTTCTCTTCCTCCTTCTCGTCTTTCTTTTTAAATAAACTTCTCCGGCGCTCGTTCGACTCAACGGATGACTTGGATGCACTTTTGGCTAATTTGGAATGCGACTCACTCGAGAGACAAGACGAGATGCCTTTGATCTCTTCGATTTGGCTCTGAAGCATTCCAAAGTTGTCTTCACAGAACTTCTTGAGGTTCGTTAATTCCGTTTGGATTTGTGTGTCAACACTCTTGACTCCAATGGTCAGTGAACTTGGCGAGGAAGTTCTTCCAACAAGAGAAGTTGTTGGTGTGACGGGTTTATTGAGTTTGGCTTCAACTGCGTCCAACCGCTTTTTGATTTGATTTGTATCGAAGTCGTCTTCGTTCAAAAGGTCGCACAAGTTGTCGGCGGCGTCTTTTGTTACCGAGTGGATTTCGTCCGGACTAATTTGGTAAAATGAAGTGAGTGAGTCTTGGTCTTCTTTGTTCAGCTGATGTTTGCACAGAAAGTCACATACCAGTGCTTTTGTATTAATGCCAAGAGCTTTAAGTAAATTCACTGCGTTTACAGTAGCTAACAACCCAATGATATTAGTTATTACCACTTTCATTGGGCCATCTGGGATGTCTTTCAATCCACTTGCTACGTCTGAGATGGCTTGAGGACTTACAAGCATTGCACACTAAGTATTATTTAGAGTTCAAATTAAACTGGTTGTTTTTTAATTCAAAAGTAACAGACATTTTTGGGAATCAATTTCGTTAAAACAATTCTTTTGTTTTTTAAGTCAGTGAATTGTTCACTGACTCATTAAAACAACTAAATCCTGCCAAAAAAGAACAGAAAAATTGAATTGAAATTCTGTCTCTAGTTCTATTGTTGAAAGTATTTTGTTGTTCCCATTTTTATTTCCTAAATTTATATTAATTAATTTGTTAAAATATATAGTATAAAATTATTAATTAAATTAAGAATAAGACATTTATGGGACTTTGTTCTACCTGAAAAATAACTAAAAAAAGAAGATAAACGAATTATCGATGTATTTTTAACTTTGTTTGGGTTTTCAACCTTTACTAGTGCTTATTATAAATAAACTATTAATTATTAATTTGTTTCTCTATTAATTCACAAGATATAAAAATAGAAATAGATTTTTATACATTTCGAAAAAACACCACACACTTATAATTAATTCAAAGTTAAAGTAAAAAAATATTATAAATTTACTATACTAAAGTTCGTAAGTAAACACACAAATCAATCAATTGCACCATCTTAAACTTGTGTAAGGTGTTCTCTCTGTGGCTTTCTGATCATAAAGACTTTCACGGTGTCCGTTGAATTGACACCGTCAAGGTTCTGTGGTGTAATAAAAATGTACTGTCTTCTTCCTGCACTCTGGACTGTTTCCATTAAAGTCTCAATTGCAATTTTCCTTGATATCGAATCCTTTTTATTAGATTAAATATAATATAATTTGTAAATAACGTTTAAATATGTATTATAATATCATGTATATACTTTAAAATAAATTATATATTATAATATATTAATAATATATTATAATATACGTGCTATGTAGTTTAATTTAAATAATTTAAATAATGTACTAATCAAACCATATACACATCGAATTCGTCCATGGCTCTGAACGGACAATCCACAACATTCCACAACGAAAGTAATAGACAGACTGTTGAGAAACTTTTCTCTCCACCTGACAAGGTCTTTGCATCTCTCTCTTTCTGGCTATTCAGAGACACTTCAATATCCAATTCCTTTTTTGTATGGTCAAGTCGCACTCTTCCACTACACCCAGGCTTCTTCTTCAAATATTGTTCAAACAACTGGATCGTTTTTGTCGATGTTTGTCGAAGTAAATATTTGTACTTCGTTTTTCTCTTCTCCAACTCAGCTTCTAACACTTTCGAAGTTCTTCGAATTTCACAAAGTTGTTTGTTAATTCGTTCAAGTTGCTCACTTTTTTTCTCAAAATCCCTCTCCACTTCGTCATAATCGATTCGCTCCTTATTAATCTCTTCTTGCTTCTTTTCACACTTCGCTTTTTCCCGCAATATCATTTCAACTGTTTTGTTTGTTTCAACATACTTAAATTCGCTAGCTACTTCTTTTAGTTCGTATAACCGCGTTTGTTGCTCGCTCAGTTCTTCTGCAACTTTCTCGTATTGTTGTTTTATGAGTTGTAAATGGGAGTCTCCCTCCATTTTTTCCTCTTGCCACGTCTCAATGTTGTTACCAAGTTCAGCCGAACTCTTGTGAATAAGTCTCATCTCGCCCTCTTTTGACTTGATGTCGACCTTCGACTTTTCCAATTCCATGCGTTTATTTTCCACGTCATCTTTGAGTTCCTTTTTTCGCGCAATTTTCTCGTTTATTTCATCAGAGAGTTTCTTTGCTTTCTCCAAAAACGTGTTGTAGTTCTCCTCCAACTCTTCAACATCCGCCATTTCTTTGATTGTAATGTTTTCCGCCTCTTTCTTTTTTGACAAAGCAGACCGCGTGTCTTTTTCACAAAGTCTCAAGCGGGTTCTTACTTTGGCGATTTGTTTGTTGCATGCAGAGCGCTCTTTGTCAATGTCATTTCGAATCGCTTCATTTCCCGCGAGGTCTGCTCTCATATGTTTTAACAAGTCCTCCGACTCTGTGATAGCCAGATTCACATCCTTTCTTGCTTTTTGTCATTGCATTGATGACACGCGTTATACTCAAAATGAAAGTAAACAAACCGTACAGCGATTGTTGTGGAATTCTATAAGGGAAAAAACCCTCAGTCTGCCCACTTCTCTGCATTAAACTTCCATTCTGTAAATAAATCTGTTTTGCGCCAAGGTTCATCATGCCTTTGCCTTCCCCTCGATTGATGGCAACAGCAACAGCATCTATTTTGATGTGATCAACCAACACGTTGAACGCAACGGTTGACCTTATATCGATAACGTCAAGTAAACTTTGGTACTTTTGTTTGTTTGTTTGGTATCTGTTATTGCCGTACTTGATGTTGTACACAAAAACTTGCACATCAAACCGCGTCTTTTGCCCCAACTCTCTCAATTTCCTTTTGTCATTTTCAGACCTCACAATAAATGACGCCAACGTTGCTCTCTTCACACAATTCTCAACTGCATGGTTCCATTTGGTGTCTTTTAACGTAATCTGCTCACCAATCGGCCCAACCACCTCGTACTCAAAAGTTGTTTGCGCGATTTCCTTTAACAAAAGTGGCATGTTTTGATGATAAATAGCCATCACATCCCGTTTTTGGTTCTTCAAGTTTTGCAGATTCTTTTCTTCGTCGACAATTCTGTTTTTCAATTTCTTGTAATCGTCGTCGACGCCGCCATACCTTCTTGCTTTCTCTTGCATCTCGACTTCAAGGGGTTTAAGTTCCTCTCTTGTGCTCTCCTCGCTCTTCTTACACTTCTCAATTTCTATTTCAGCAAGTCGGATCTTATTGTTTTTGTCTTGAATTGCGTTTTCCATATCTTTCTCGTCGTGCGACTTTGCTTCTTCCAAACCATCTTTCAACAGTTGTACCCTCTTCTTTGTCGTTTCAAGACTGTTTTTCTTATCTTCAATTTCTAAAAGTAAGTTTTGCAATTTCTTTCTTGCTTCCACAACACTTGTACTTGCATCATTTTTCACTTCCTCAAGTTGTTTGAGTTCGTTAACAACAGTTCCAACTTGTTTATTGTAATTTTGTATTTGTTGTAAAGCCTGTTGTATTTTATTTTCTATGACATCTTGACTGAATTCGTTGATCTTTGTCTTGAGTATGACACAGTGTTGTTCTGTACTTTTTACAGCAAGACATTGGTCTCGAACATTTGCCCACGCGGCCTCCGCCTCCAAATTTTTGACAATATTCTTCAACTCTTTAATACTCTTTGCAGCTTCCAACTTCATTTTTAACGCATCGACTTGCATTTCCATCGCGGGTATTCCCTCTTTTTTTGTATCGATTTGTTTCTGTGCTTTCGCGCACAATTCCTCCGCCAATTTATAATTGTCGATGACGCTTTCAAGTTGTGTTGCTTGTAAGAAGAATTTGTATTTGTCTGTTGCTTTCGTCGCAGTCAAAAATGTTTTTGATGTTTCTTGCATGAGTAAAATACAGGGGTTATCAAATGGAATGTTGAAATGATCCAATACTTCATTGACATCACTCGCTTTGTTCCCAACTAGACGAGGCTTCTCGCCATCTATTAAACCTACCACTTTATATGACCCACTCCCTTCCTTTGTTATCTTCCGTTCAAAAGAAATGGTGTCGCCGTACTTCTCACGGTCTAAACTCCCATCACCTATGTTGTTGAGGTGAACAATCACCTTACAGTACGTCTCACCCGTTTTAATAACATCCGCAGCTCGCTTCCCACGAGACGTGAACTGCGCCTTCGCACCAAAACAAATTGCGAGAGCAACTAATATCGCCGATTTACCGGAACCGTTTTCTCCAACAATGAAATTCACTTGTGGTGACAAGTCAAGAAGAAGATGGCGATGACACATGAAATTTTCCAACTCTATACGCTTGATCGTTCCACAAACTCCTTTTGACATGTTGTCGGATTTTGTGATTGAAAGAATTTTTTTATTTTTTTGTTTTTTATTTTTTTAAATAACTCAATAATATTTATTTTCTATTTTTTGTTATTTTGATTTTTTTTTATTTTTTTAAAATAACATTTCAAAAATTAAAAAAAATTATTTTCATTTTTTAATGTTATGATTATTGTAAAAAATATCTAATTTATACTAAAGATTTTTATTAACATAAACATTTTTTTAAATTAAAAATGTTTTTTTATTTAAAACAAGATTAAATTTAATTAAATGTGACATTAAAATACTATTAAATTGAAATAATTGACTTTATAATTGTTAAACCAACTTATTAAAATTAAAATAGTGCTTTGTTGAATTAAAAATACAACAATTCCCGAAATTTTAGTTTAATAACATAAACAAAAAAACCATTTTTTTAAAAAACGTTTGTTGTAAATCGACCCAACACTTAAATTTGTCTAATTATTGCTATACTATATACAAATAGTAAAACAAATTATAACATTAACTAGTCTCAAGAAACTTCAAAACAGAGGAAGAAGCAAAAACGCTGTCAGAGATGCATCACAATCTCTATCTTACACTTGTCAGAACGCCGAACTTTAAAAGCCCAATTTTTGGATGTTAGTGATACTTACTGGTCTACGCAACGTTTTATACAAGACGGTGACGAAGTCAATGCCTGCTGTCAACAAGGTTCAAAGCCGTCGGATGAAGTCCCTCGACATTTTTTTCTTAATGATGACACACCTTGCGGGTGTTGGGGTATATATCACCTTTGTCCCGACCGCATGGTGGATCCACCCATCACCGGACGCTCACCACAACTCCAATGAATTACTCAAACTTATTGCTGTCTCAACATATATTGGCAATTTCATTAAGAACTTATTCGCGTGTCCGAGGCCTGCCGGTGTGTGGCAACCAAAGAAAGAAATTGATTTTGGAATGCCCTCGAACCACACAATGAATGCAGTGGCGAATGCCCTCTTTTTAATCGACGTGCTCAACCCAAATTGGGTTGGGGTCATATTTTTGTTGTGCTACGCTCTTGTCGTTGCTGTAAGCAGAGTGTACACAGGGGTTCATACACCAGCTGACGTCGTTGTAGGAGCAATGTTAGGGATTTTCTCGTTTGGATTTTACAAACTCTTCCCAGACCTTCCACGTACTTTCACATTTGTTGTGATATTATTTGTCGTTCACTACGTGTTGCTGACATTACATCCGTTGTGTTTCTCGCGATACACTCCATGTTACTGGAGATCTACGGTTGGGTTGGGATATTGTCTTCTCTGCTTCATTTTGGACGTCGCCGATTACCACACTGATGTCGAAGACACGCCACCGTACTCGTGCTCGATCAAACATCCCTTCGAGTTGTGTAAAGCGTTTGCAACAGGCGGTTTAGTCACTTCGGTTTGTGGGATTGTGTTCTTACTTCTTCGGTGGTTCCTTTCGAAACAAACTACATTCCTTGACAAGTACGGGAAGTTTTCAAACAAATTCAGAGCTTACTGTCATTTAGACCCGCTTGAGTTTGACGATAACATGAACATGACAAGCAGAATTTATACAGTGCAATTTTTCACGTATTACATCAGTGGAATGTTGATCGCATTTTTCGCTACAGTGATTTCCCCGATTGTTGTACAAAAGTACATCCCTAATTTGTTCACAAAGGATCTCTGCAGCACTCTAGCGTCAAGTAAATAAATTTTTATTATTTATCGACTCAACAAGCAAAGGAATTTTAATATTGATTTATTAACTTAATTTATAGTTTTTTATTTTATTACCATTATTAAACAAGACATCTATTCTAACTCCTATACAATATAGTTCGAAAAATTATTTAAATATAAATTGTTGTACAACAAATTGTATTTTAAACTGTTTCTCATAGCAACTTAGAATTCATACAACAGACCAACAAATCTTTAAAAACAAAGAGTGTATGTTTTTGGCAATAATTTTGTTCACATTAGTCTTTTCTCAACAACAAGAGAAAGAGTTGTTGACAACTTTCTTTGACATTTTGAATGGTGAAAATTGGGTGATACGCACCAACTGGAAAAGCGAGAGAAGTGTTTGTGAATGGTACGGTGTTGAGTGTGAAGATGGAAAAGTTTTATCTTTGAATCTTTCTTCAAACAATTTAAAAGGTGAAGTTCCTCCTCTTTTTGTATTACAACATGTGAAGAAAATCGATGTATCAAACAACCAAATAACTGGGCTCTTAACTTCTTTCAATGGACTTCAAAGACTTGACACTCTTATCATCTCAAACAACTTATTTAAAGGATTTGCAAATGTACTTGGAACCTCTTTAAAGCATTTTAAAGCCGCCAACAATGCCTTTGACGATGTATTTTACTTTCTCAAAAACAATGTATTCCTTGAGACTTTAGATCTCTCGTACAATAGTATTCGAACTATTCCACGTGCATTAAACAAGTTATCCAACCTCATATCGTTGAATATGAAACACAACAAAATCACTTCTGAAATACCGCCAATGGCCGCTTTAGTCAATTTGGAGTCTTGTGACTTCAGTGAGAACACAATAGTCGGAACAATACCAAACTCACTAGGTACTCTTCCAAGACTTGTTGATATCAATTTGAGTAAGAGTAATCTTTCTGGTCCAATTCCACATTCCCTCTTTCTAGGAAAGTCCTTAGAAAAAGTCGACATTTCATATACTCATCTCTCTGGCCATTTAGTCGGTCTTGACAAAGCAAAACACCTCAAGAAAATAGACATGAAAAACACGCAAATCACTGGCAAAATACCAAGTCTGTTTGGGTCGAGTCTCACCGAGTTAGACGTCACCAACACTTCAATTGAATGTCCGATTCTTGCTGTAAATAAGTTGAAGGTCATCTCCGACTGCCCAGAAAGAGTACGTATAACTCTTCATGGAATGTCAAAATGTGGGGATTTCACAAATGCGATCAACAATGCTATTGCACCACTCAATCGGGAATTGGAGGATATAGTGGACTATACCTTTGGGTGGATAGTAACACCAACACCAGAGAAAGTGACTGGATACTCTTCGATGCATGGAGATACGGAGGTGGATGGGGACTTCTTGTTTTCATGTTCCAATGAAGTGTATAATTCGACAGTAGCACTCAACCTCTATCAATGTATGAGTCGTGTGTTATATTTAATTCCATCGAACTTGTATGACTGTACGCAGAAACTTGGAATAGACCCAATACCTATATCAGATTGTATGATGGGAGAGGTGGGACAAAAACTGATGAAAGAAGGACTGCAAGATGTGGAAAGACTCGCTTCGCATTGGTCACCTACTATTTATATCAACGAGGAATTGTATTGTTTGTACGATACAAACGAATGCAAAGCTATGTACTTGGAAGATTGGATTAGAGATGTGTGTCTGGAGTATAAAGGATATAATAAACCAAAAGCCTGTTATGTCTAATTTGGAGTTCTTTGTTTTTCCTTTTTTTGTTGAACAATAAGTCATCAATTTTTTGAAGTATTTCAATGAACCTTAAGTTTTCAAAAACTTATAGTTTGCATTGTTTAACTTATTTTATTAATAAGTGTTTGATTTATGTTTTATTACAGAATAATAACACAAACATGTAAAAAAGGTAAAATGAAAAAAACAAATGTATTAATTTGATTCTAGTTTTTAAACTTAATTAATTAATGATGTTTTTTGTAGAATGTTTGTGCCGTGTTTGTGGATTCTTTATTATGAAAGTCGAATTGACTCCAATTCGACTACACCATGGAATTGGTTTTACTCACTTTAAGACACAAAAGTATTGAAATAATATTTATATATTGTTTTCTAAAAAAAATGTGAATCTGTAGAGTCTGTCTGTTGTCTTTTTTTATGCTAATTGATTATCATTGTTAAACTATAAATTAAAGTTTATATTTCATTTTTTAAAAAAATATTATTGAAAACTATAGTTAAATAGTACTTAAATTAATATTAATTAATTTCAGTATTCAAAAACCATAAAAGAGTCTTCTTCTGTTGTTGGTAGGAAAGATGGTAGGATTTCTATTTCAATGCGAAATACCTTTCTATCAAAAACAGCAACTTTGACGCAAAGGACACCTTATAAGCCAATTGAAAATCAACCACAATATCAGATGAAACAAATCCTCTTTATAGCACTCATTTGCTCTGCACTTGCGTTCAGAGGAAGACATGAGAAGCCAATTGAAGACTCACAAGTCCCAGAAGGTTCAATAGCACCACCCGAGTTCCCACATGATGACCACAACCACGGTCCTCACTTCCCACATCCGCCACACGTGCCTTGTGAAGATGGAAGTGAGTCTTGTGACTCAACCATCCCACCACCTTTCCCACCAAAAGACGGTTCAGATGTGCCATTTGGTTCAGAAGTCCCACACTTCCCACCACACCATCCACATGATGACAACTCAACTGCTCCTTTTGAAGGATCAATGGACTCTCGTGTCCCTGCACCTTTTCCATTTGGTCCAAAACATCCAGAACACAACAACCACATTCAGAAGGACCCAAGAAATGAACGAAAGAGAGTCGTCAAACAAGCAGGAAAGTTTTAAGGAAATAATTCATTTGTTACTAAAAGATTAGTTCTTTTATTATTAAAAATTTATATGATTTTGGTTCAAAAGTTACATGATTTTATTTTTTTTCTTGTTTTCGAGTATTATGAATGTAGTTAATTATGGTTTATTTTATAATAAATTTTACAAACTTTATATAATTGTTAAACTATGGATATACTAAACATAATTTTTTTAATGAGTATAGTTTGTTTTATAGTAAAACGACGAATATCTAATTTTGAATAGTTAAAGTGAGTTACTTTATGTTAATATGAGTTATAGCTGTTCGGCGACTTTATAGTCCCTTTGAAAATCGCCGACTTTATAGTGGTTTTAAAAGTCGCTGACCTAAATATTTAGTTAAATAACTATTCAAAATACCATTTATCATTTAAAAGATATTGAAAAAATAAACCATATAAATCTAATATAATTATTATTAAAAAATAAAATGAAAAAATATCGTCCCAATTATATCTTCTCAAATCATTTTTTAAATTATATTTATATGATTATAATATAACAAATTATAACAACTAATGTGTTTTTACACATTTTTGAGACAAAAATGAATATGGTATAATTTATTAAAGTTAATAGTTGTTTAGTTCTAAAAGAAGTCAGCGACTTTTGAAGGAACTTAAAAAGTCGCAGAACAGCCATAAGTTAAACTTGTCATACTATATTATTATTATTATTATTATTATTATTATTATTATTATTATTATTATTATTATTATTATTATTATTATTATTCCTTACTTTCAAAACAGTAAAAAAACATTATATGTTGAGCCACTGCTTATCATTAAGTTAAAGAAGGTCATTTGATTGTAAAAGTCCACTCAGAGATGAAGACGTATGTATTTATCATGGTTGATCACACTAAATTCTCATCATTGTGGCGATTAGATGACAAATTTTTTGTTTTTATACCTCAGCTTTGTTTTTAACAATATTATTTTTTATTATTTCAATACTATTTAAACTATACACATTTTGAAAATACCAACTAAAAACTAACTGAAAAAATTTATAAATTCTTTCTTTTTTTCATTTTTTACTATTTCTATTTTTAAATATATATATATATATAGTTGTTATAATAATTTTATTATAAAATAACTACAGTCAATAATGTATATTTGTGGTACAAGAATAGATAACTGGTTTGTCTTATTTTTCAAATCAAAAGTTCATTTAAAAATAATTTCTTGAATTTGGATTGTTTATTGAATTAAAACCTAATTTTACTTTAAAATAACTTTCAAAATAAAAAAACAATTTCACATTCTACTTTATGACAAATAGATGTGTATTATTTGAAAAAAGAGACACTTTTGACTGGTATTGTTGATTTCTAATAATGTGTTGGAATTCATTATCATTTCATTGTATTATAATTAATAGTTATGTTATTATAAAATATACTACTATTTAAGAATTAAAACAATTTCTTAATTAATAAAAGAAATTAAAACCAAAAAATTTTAATAATAAAAAACCAATAAAAAATGCTAAAATAAGAATTAAAGGAATTTGACGCCAGTTGGGTAGAGTGGGTCAGTAGTAACACCACAAGTATTTCCTTCAGCCGCCATCAAGATGTAACCTTTGTCACCCCAAGATGTTCCCCATGAATTTCTGACAATCCAATAAGCAGCGCCATCGAGTGTTCCATATCCAACAGCGGCGACTTCGTGGTTCAAATCGAAGTAACCTGTTCCGCACTTAGTATCTGTGTAAACTCCTGTCTTGTACAATTGGAACTTAGCAGAAGATGCATCAATAGAGACATCAACAACACCATCGACCAAAGCCGCCTTCAATTCGGCGTCGTTCTTTCTTGGGACTGAATTGTAGCCAGTGATAGTCGCATACTTCTTGCTGACATCAACAGTGCAACTTCCATCAACTGCTGTGTATGGGTAATCCTTCTCTTGGACAATACCATTAGCCTTGATATACTCATAAGCATTCTTTCCAAGTCCACCATTGCATCCGTTGTTGCCTTGTTCCTTTGAGCATTGCACTAATTGTTCCTCAGACAAATCAAGTGTTTGGTAATCCCCACCAATCATCAATAATCTTCCCTCAAGAGATGCAGTTGATCCAAATGTATAACATGAACCACATTGGGCTTGATCTCTAATGGGAGTCACTTTGTTGCTTGTTCTCAAGTCAAGGGACTCGGGTGCTGATCTATTCAAATACACGGGAACACTCTTGTCATCCTTTCTAATCAACTTGAGTTGAGCGCGATACTCGGCGTTGGTCATAGCAGCAAAGGGACCCTCATTTGATAACTGGAACTTGTGTTCCTTGTTGAACATGGAGACATAGCGAGAGTTTGCAGTGAAGATTGCTCTTCTTCGGAGCGCTTCAACAGCACTGAAGCGTTTGTTGTACTTTGCGGTCCACGCCTGGAAGTCAAGTGCACTTGCAAGTGCAATCAAGAGAAATCCGATCATTGATGTTATGAGTTACTAATGAAAATTTTTTTATACTCATTTCTAACTTTACGACTTTTCGCTCTGCTTGGCTTTTTCTCGCTTTGAATTTTTGCTGTGAAATAAAACCAAAAATCAAAGCACTTTGAGTTGAATATACTATTCCTTTATAATAAATAGAATTAGAATTAATGAATA